TTCAATAGTTTGAGTGGAATATTCTTTATGGAAACCATCTTTCTTACAGTTGGCTTGCACCGACATTGACAAGCGTTCCGAGGAGAAACGTGGGTTGTTTGCAATTTTGGAAGAAGAATCATTGTTCCCGGGTGCGACCGACGAGAGTCTTCTTGAACGTTTCTTCATTCATCTGGGAGATGATTCCAGGTATACAGAGCTTCAGTTCTGTTTCCGATTGTAAATGCTCTCTGTGGTAAGAAATGGTTTTGAAGAATACCGGATTTTTTTGACACTTTAGAATGTAGACACTCTAACCTGCTCCATGTCACAAAATATTTTCTTTATTTTTTCACCGTTTTACGAGAAATTCTGTATGGACATTGTCAACTGTGGAATACTCAGTGCTAGAGTGCTGGTTTTTACAGCCTTTGCTATATCTTACTTACTTGGATACCAGGACGGTCCGTCTTCACGAGTTGTGCGGACTCCAACAGATTTGCCATTCGTTTCTTTCTCGCGCAATCATAGTCCATGGTGGTAGTTTTACTCGAGCATGGTAGCGCTTGCTCGTCTCATACCGTGATCAGTAAAACAACTGCAGCTGCGGGTACAGCTGATTAACTTTGTTTATGAATACGTCCGCCCAACGTGTAGGTGGTCGTCCATGGGGATGTTTGCATTCTCTTGGACTCCACTCCATTGTTCTTTTCTTCCATCTGTCGTCTGCTCTTCGCATTATGTGACCAGCCCATCTATGTTTCGCTGTCGATGTATGTTCTCCTGGATCTCGAAGATGTGACAAATTTCGAAGGTCAGAGCTTCGCATTCCGGTTACATGTTTAGAGTGCCGGTTTTATTTCAGAAGACATCGCTCAAGCGCTCTGTGAGTAGTTCGAAGCATTCTTGGCGTAATTGAAGTATCAACCCACGTCTCTGCAGCATAACAGAGCGCTGGGAGGACCGTAAAATCGTAGAGATGAGCGCGGATTTTTTAAGGGTCCTTCAGTTGGTCAATGGCTTCTTTGAGAGGCCCGAATGCGGCCCAAGCTGCTCTCCTTCTTCAATCTAGTTCGTCCTTCATGTTGTATTCCATGTTCACTGATCGCCCAAGGTAAATGTACGAGGTGGTCTCTGCAATGAGAGAGCCTTCTAATTCAATTTCCTGGCCTTCCCACCATGGGTTTCATGAAGTGGGTCTTCTTACGATTTATGCGAAGTCTGTTCTTTTTCCCTGCTTCGTTGAGCTCGTTGATCATCATCTCTGCTTCGCTAGTACTTCTTGAGAAGATGGCAATGTCGTCGGCAAAACGAAGGTTTGATAGGAATTTTCTATCAATACGTATGCCTTTCTCATCCCAATGAGTGACTTCATTATCCACTGCACTGCGGCACTGAACAGCTTTGGCGATATTGTGTCGCTCTGTCGAACCCCTTTTCCTATGGGTATTGTAAGAGGTCGATGGAAAAACTGCATTTTCGTAGTGCAGTTCCGATAACAGTGGGACAGAGTCCTTATGTAGGACGGGTCCACTCCTTGGTCGACGATCGCTGATAGGATTGCATTCGTTTCGACACTGTCAAACGCTTTCTCATAGTCGACAAAGGTTAGGACTAGAGGCTGGTGATATTCCCGACAAACTTCAATAACCCTGGACACAGTTCGGATGTGGTCCATACAGCAAAATTCTTTTCGAAATCCTGCTTGCTGGACTGGTTGCGCCTCATCATTGTCTTTGGTATGCGCGATAGAATAATCTTCGTGAAGAGCTTGTAGAGGACACTCAATAAGCGTATCGGACGAGTTACGAAGATCTCTTCGGTCACCTTGGGTAGGTTGATTGTGCATGGCATTCACCACTGGTCTGGAATTTCTTCCCTTTGGAGATAGGCTGTCATATGGTTTGCGAGAAGTACATGTAAATTGTGGCCTCCAGCTCTAAGGAAATCGGCAGTGATATTATCGGGTCCTGGAGCGGTGCCCTTTTTCATTCTTTCTATTGAAACTCGAACCTCCGACGGAAAAGTTCCAGTTGTTTTCACCAGCGGAGATATTCAGCATCCAATACGGGAATTGTGGAACGGAAGAAGTTGGTGTAGAACGTTTCCATTATTATTTCCATATCATGGTGGGAAACTTTAATGACCCCACCTTCGCTCATCAGCGCCAACAGTGGAATACCGTAGTCACAAAAGTCCCGAAGACATTTTGTCAGACTGCTTCTTTTTTTTGCTACGTTCAGTAGTCTCGTCTGCCTGTACCGATGTAGGTCTTCCTGCAAAGCTCTTCTATAGCTGCTATTTATTACTAGCCGTGTTAAACGTGTTTCAGTAGGATCAACCCTCAGTTTCCTTCTCCTTTCGAGCTACTTAATAATAATGGAGATGCTATCCGATCTTCTTACTTGAGGAATTCGGCACTGCTTTTAAGTCTTTCGAGAAGCAGCTCGTAATCTTTGGTCGGGTTTTCGTTAATATGCCAGTCACGCTTGGATAGAACTTCATTCAGAGTATTCTCGTTGTATACAACTGTACTTTTTCGTCGTGGCCGATGGAGAGAGTTCTTTTCCAGTTTGGGGCTGAATCGAATCTTCGCGCGAAGAAGGCGGTGATCGGAACCAGTACAGAATGACGGGACTCCCGAAGGCACCACCTTCTGTTTGTCAGAATATGGTCGATCTCCACATGAGTAATGTCGCTAGGAGACTCCCATGTGCAGCGGTAGCTTTCTTTCTTCTGGAAAAACGAGTTTCCATGGAGAAGACGCGCTGCTGACAAGAGTCCTGTGAGACGGTTTCCATTCTCATTTCTTTCTCCTTATCCAAAATTTCCGATCCTATATTCGCTCTCGTTGGCCTTTCCTATTCTGGCATTGAAGTCTCCAACAACAAATTTATGATATGCTTTATCATTGCTATCATCAGTTGATAAATCACTCATAAGTAAACTGTACAATAAACATTTACACGTTATTACTTAACTAGGATGATTCGTCGTGCTAGCAGCCCTATGCAGTTCGTCTTAGAACATGCCATGTCGTGCTATACCACGGTGTATGATGTATCCGGTTGGGTGAAGCAGGCTCGACCTTGCGAAAGTGGAGCCTCAGTTCGACCACTACTGCTGTCAAGCAAAAGGTAAGCACTGTTCATCGTACTGGATTAGAAGGTTCTACACGAATTTGTAGAAGTTCAGCTTTCAAATAGTCCCGTTACAATTGGTAGATGTTGCAAAATTAAATGTTTAAAAATTTTCGTCCATGCAGCTATTAGCAATCTCGGATCTTCTCTAAGAGGTTAAGAGGTTTCTAGTCGATCATTCTCAGTGCTGAGCGGTGCTTTGATGGTGCATAGGCTTAGAGAGATCTAAAAGGGATTCTGTATTTAATATGAGACGTGGGTGGTTTCCTAAGATGGATTCTGTGTTGCTGCTGTATCGTTCTGAGGTAAACATTCTGTTTGTTCATGTACATATCTACGCATGCGTTGAGGAAAGTGGTCTAGTACGTTGGGACTCTATTCTCGTCGTCAGTTGTTA